CACACACACACACGCACACGCACACACACACACACGCACACTGTGCAGGATTCATGCTGGCGCTGTGCACAACACATCCACCCATAAAATGTCCTCGGGGGCGGTGATTAGAACTTAGTAACTTACCAGGTTGAGCGATGTGCGTGCAATCAGAGAGTAAGCATGTCCATCTTTCAAACACAGGCAGAAACGAGAAACATCACAAGATTCAAGACAAAAAGTGTCAGACCCAAGATCCCGATAGCAGACTTTGCAAAGTTTGTAGTTTTAGGAACACAAAAGCAAGCAAGGACAATGAATACACTACCCTCAAAATACTCTTTCGCTAAGGGCTACTCATCCTCCTCCCTCGACCGTTCCTCCCTGTGAGACTCCGCCTGTGACGGGTACTCCTCCGACTCATCCCCGTCCGGCTCTCCACTACCGTCCGATTGCTGGGACATTTTCCTCCTCCTCCTCAATGTTCTGCGGCGCACTGTCTTCGGACGATGATGATGAGGATGAAGAAGACTGCTTTTTTCCGGTTACGACATGGATTTTCTTCGTCGTCTTCAATCACCTCAGCCGTTCTCCTCTTTGCAGGCCTTGATGCCTCGGCTGCTGCAGCCTTTGCGGCCTCTGCACTTGCTTCTGCTTTTGCAACCTTCTTCAAGGGCGAAAGCGGAGGCCGCCCTCTCTTCTTTTTGGTGGTGCATCCTCCTCCCTAACCTTTCTCTTCCGTTTGTGAATTGGCTGTTCTTCGGCAACGTCCGGTATTGTTGCCTTCTTCTTGCGTCGCCCAGGACTTGATACTGCCTCCCTCCCCTGCACCCAATCGTCGGTTTGACGCGCCTTCAAGGCACGGTCACGGCCCTCCAAGGTGTACACGAACCTGGGATCGGGCTCTTCAACATCGGACTTCCTGCGCAACTCCCGCACTCGGTGCTTCCCAGGCTTCGTGTTTGCGTGCCATGTTCTCTCCAGCGCACCGAGTGCGGCGAGGTCGTCCTCATCATCTGCAAAGTTCTCCTCCTCGTTGTTCTACAACCATGTGCGCTCTAGCGGGGCATCCTCGAATTCGTCTACGCAGACCTCCACTGCAGCAGCATCGCCGGTTGTCCCTTTCCTAACCTGTGTGGCCCATTGGTCGTACCACTCATCCACTTCCACTCTCGCCAGCTCGTCGTCCTTCCACGGAATGTGTATGTCTTCCCCGTCCCCTCGCTCTCTCCTCGTCGACAGTTGGATATTCCAATTGTTATACACCAGCTTGCTCAATCTCTCTGGCATGAGCTTCGTGCGGCGTTGGCCGTAAATGAGCTGGTGCAAGCTCCAGTTTCGCTCGCATGCAGCCGACGAGCTCGCCTGCCCAAGGAGTTTGATAGCCTGCGGTTGGAGGAGGTCCAGGGACGCCCCAAACGCCTCCCACCATAGCGCTGGAGTCTTCGAACTCACTTGATCGCTTGCGTTCTGTGTCCCCAAAGTGCCCAATCCCTGCACCCACATGCCCACCTGTCTACTGATATCTCGCTGTAGCAACTCCGGCGGCGCCCAAGAGTAAAGCCAGATGTTGAACCCCTCGCGAATCTCCGTGTCTCGCAAGGTGTATATCCTGTACTCGGGGTCGAGGAAGGCGGCTGCGCAATGCAGCTCTAATGTCATGAAGGCCCACCTGTCCATCAGAATATTCTCCATATCCGCCTTCTCAGCCTCCAACAAGCAGTCCAAGGTGCGCATTTTCGCCACAACCGCGTCCATGCCAAAGTGAACTTTGCTCATAGTTGATCCGGGACCGTCCACCAAACGAAGGAGCTTGACAACCGGTTCCATCACTGCCATGGCCTTATCAACATCCTTCCAGAATCCGTTCGTGTCCATGATGATGTGGGTGACGGCGTTGAATGTTGCCACGTGCTCCCCTCTCACCAACTTCTCCACCCACGCTGCGTTGCAGACACAGAGCTCGAATGAATTCTTCCCCGTCTTCAGCGACTGAAGCATCTCAAAGTTCGTCGCGAATCTTGTGACCGTCGGATGCTTGAGTTGCGCATTCGCAATCCGGTTGTACATTGCGCGAACATTGTCGACGTTGGTGAAGAACTTGCCAACTTGATTGCCCTTTTCGACGACCGCTTTCAGCCAGTCCATGCACTTGTACATGTCCTCCAGGGCCAGATCCAAGGCATGCGGTGTTCAGCCCACACTAAAAATACCAGGGTACTTGGCCTCCACCATCTTCCCCGCTTCAGCGCAAACCCTCGCATTGTCCATCACAACACCGACAATGGACCCCGCACCGATCTCCTGGATCACCCCATCCAGCAACTTGAAGTACGCTTTAGAATCCTTCTCCCTCCCCTCCATGCAGATGGACTTCCAAAACACCGTTCCGACTGGGGAAGAAACCATGACGTTCAGGTGCGGTTTGTTCCTTTGGTCCGACCACCCGTCCATCTGGAGCATGCACCCTGTTCTCTCCCACCAATTTAAACTGCCCATCCAACCTTTTCGTCCTCATCTCGTCCCTCTTGCAAGGCCACCAACTAGGATGGCACTTCTTCACAGCATCCAGGAAATCGAGGAAGTAGAAGTTCTCCACCATGCTGAATGGCTGATTCGTGCAAATCAGCCACCGATCCATCTTCCGACTCGTCTGCTCGTTCCGGGTGATGATACTGTCCGCCTCCTCGATCAAAGTTTGTCTCATCGACCGTCCACCACTTCCAGGGGCAGGAGGGAAGCATGTCCCAGATCCTGCAGGCGAGGGCGTCTCACAATCACTTGGCCCATGTCTTGGTGATGACGGAGGCACGAAACCGCTGGAAGACGGTCCTGTGCTCGGACCACCACTACCACTAGTTGCACCTAGGAGCTGACTGGCCTGGTGCTTCCCCAGCCGGATGCCCTCGATTCTCATCACCCTCCTCCGCTGTCAATGCCCGAGTGACAAGCTCAATACTGCACTTATTCATGAAGTGCTTCTTGAAGACCGACTTCGTGCCGATGAACCAAGTCTCGCAATAGTTGCACAGCCAGTGCCTCGACCCCTTGCTGGGGTCCTTGCCGTGAAGACCTTCATCAGTGAAGTGCCTCGCAAACGACTGCAAGATCTACTTCGACAGCGCCATCGAAAGCTTCACCTGCGCACACACAATCCACAAACAGACCAGGCGTCAACCCCTCTTCAACACTTTTCAAAGGAAACAGC